TTGAGATGGAAGAGCCAAGACCTCTCCCTCACAACAATTTAAAAATTATTCGAGAGCCAGAAGTATATTTTTACAAAGAGGGAAAATTTTAAGTAACAATAAATCATCATCATCATCATCATAAATGAAAGTATGATAGTCTGTATTTTCATTTTTACTTCAGAGCCTTATGTACATAGGGAAGGAACCACAAATGGTTCCCCAGCCGCAAATTTGCCGACCCCTGGCCTATGGTTGGTTAACATTTCATTGGTAAAAAACCATTTAATGCTGTTTCTTGTGTTGGTCATTAACAAGTCCTGCATTGATTGACATGGGTAATTAGTATTAGTTGAGTGCTCTAGGGAAGGAGGGCTGGCCTTACAATTGATGGTAACTGGCTGTAAAGCAGAGAGGTTGGGGGAGAGAGATCTCTCTTGGTTGAGAGCTGGACTGGAAAAGAAGCAGAACCATACGGAAGTTACGTTATCCTGACGCTGCCACACTGGCTCGGAGCTGGACTTAGCAGCAGAGAGGCTGGATGGCAGGGCACAGCTAAGAATGCTGAGTACATACTACACTGGCTTTGTGCTCAACACCTAGACACTCCAGTGTTCTGAAGCCCCACCTAAGCTATTCCATGAATCAGGTGTTTTATCGGTGTCCTTTTCCTGAGGATGTCTCCCCTAGAGCTTCGGACTTGCTCCAGGATGGACTGGCTGATATGGCTGTCTCCTGAGATCACCCTGACCCATTATCCTGGGAATTCCCTTGACATATTGAGCCTTAAATTTACTGTTCAACAGATGATCCTTTATTATTATTATTATTAATCATTTTATCGGGAGCTCTTACAGCTCTTATAACAATCCAGACATCATTTGTACCAAACACATTTGTACATATTTTGCCATCATCATTTTATTTTTTTAAAAATTATTTTATTGGGGGTTCATACAACCCTTATCACAATCCATGCATACATCCATTGTGTCGAGCACATTTGTACATTTGTTGCCATCATCATTCTCAAAGCATTTTCTTTCTGCTTAAACCCTTGGTATCAGCTCCTCTTTTTTCCCACCCTCCCACCCTCATGGACACCCGATAAATTATAATTATTTTCATATCTTACACCATCTGCTGTTCCTTTTTGTTAATTTACTCCCATAGTCTATGGAGCAATTATTCCAATAGCTTCCTGATGAAAAGGTATACATTTACTTTTTGAGACTTTGCAGGTCTGCAAAGGCCCTCTTACTGAATTGATTGGTTAGCTATTGAATTATATGTTGGAAATATTTCTTCAGGCACCTGAAAACATTGTTTTCCTACCATTGAGCTTTTAATGTTGCTTTTGAAAAATCTGAAACCTCCCTAGCTCCTGATTTTTGTATGTGGCTTCTATTTTCTATGGGGGTCTGAATGATCTCTTTGGATGCAGTACTATGAATCTTCATGACAATGTTCTTGAGTGTGAAGTTTGGGTGTTTGGGTGTTTTTCTTTGCAGATGCTCAGTAGGCCCTTTCATGCTAGATATTTATGTGCTTCTGTTTTTAAAAATATTCTTAACTTATTTCATCAATAAATTTCCCCGTTTTTGTTGTTGTTTCTGGCATCCCTGCTATTCAACTGATTATCCTATATCCTGATATACTTCATTTCTCTTCTAAATTTCACCTTTTGTTTTCTCTACTTCCTATGAAAGTTCAACTTTTTCTTCCAAATTTTCGTACAGCTTTCTTTTATTTTTTTTAATTTACAACCCCTTTTGCTGAAGATTCTTTTTATATTTTGTGTATCTTTCATAATTGCATTGACACCTTTTTTACCTGAAGTATTAATAAACCAAGCCAAGCCCATTGTCATGGAATCAATTCCAACTTATAGCAATCCTACATGGGGTTTCCAAGACTGTAAATCTTTATAACTGGAGGGTTTGACCCACCAACCTTGCAGTTAGCATTCCAACACTTAAAACAGCACCACCAGGGCTCCTTGAAGTATTAACAGAACCAAAAAACAAATTCAATGCTACTGAGCCAATTCTGACTCGTAGTGACCCTATAGGACAGAACAGAACTGCTCCTTTGGGTTTCCAAGGCTGTAAATCTTGACAGGAACAGAAAGGGTTTTTTCCTACAGTGAAGTATTAATGGAAGTATGAAATGTCTTCTCTCGGCTGTTTCCCTTTGGATTGATTTTCTTTGGTTTGTTTTAGTTCCTATTTCAGTGTCTAGCAACTCATGATTGTGTGGTCATATTTAAGAATGGAAAACTAAAAATGTTATTAGAAGCACTGAGACTGTGAACAGAGCCCTGGTGGTGCAGTAGATAAAGTGCTCAGCTGCTAACCTAAATGGTTCCAGCTCCCCAGGGGAAAAGATAGCAGTCTGCTTTGTCAAGATTGACAGCGTTGGAAACCCACAGGGGCAGTTCTGCTCTGTCCTAGAGGGTCACTGTGAGTCGGAGCCAACTCCATTGTGGTGGATCGAGACTGTGAACTTCACGGTAGTTAACCATTCCAATGCCATGCTCCTTGGACTGGCCAGCTTTCCCAGGGAGGCTTGTGTGGTGTCCTGCCTATACGACCTAAGGCCCGATTACCTGAATTGTGGAAGCCATGCTGGGAAAGATGACAAAAGATATTGTTTTCAAAGTGCTGCTCTTAACTTCAACTGTACGTAACTTTTAACTTTCCCGCAGTCCAGATAGCCTATATATTAATCTCTAGAAAATCAACCTAGTCTTTTGCCAGAGTGAGAAAAGACAGGCAAGGAAGGAAACTGGTGTTCTGCTTCTTGCTTTCAAAGAGTCTTCCTTATTTTAACCTCCCTGCTCCATCACCCGTTCCTGAGATATTGAATGCCACCAATTTCTGAGGGTTTTAAAAAGTCTTCTTGGTTACAGTCTGTTTATGATTGTTATGGTTTAACATGATTAACTTTGTTTTTCTATTTCTATTTTGCAGTTCCTGATGAGCATCTATTATCGTAAGTTATATCATGTTGTGGTTGGGATTTTTTGGCCATCAATAGGTTTCAGAACCAAATCCTTTCAACATCACCTCTTAATTTAAAAACAAAACCTTACCAAACCTGTTGTTGAGTTGGTTCTGACTCATAGCAATCAATGAACAACAAAATGACACCGTACTAGGTCCTACACCTCACAATTATGCTTGAGCTCATTGTTGCCAGCCACTCATTAAACTAAAAGCGATATGTTCTTGACTCAAGTGAAGTGACCGAGGCACCCCCATATTGTCCTATTCACCATTCATGTGTAATATTCTAGAAGTTGTAGCTGATCCACACTAACGCAGGACAAAGAAATGAGAAGTCTACCTCTCTATAAGGAAAGACAATTATTATTTTCAGATGGAATAACTCTATTTATTTTAAAAAATCAAGAAAATATAGTTAAATGGCCAGTTTGAAAAATGAAGACATTTACAGCAATGTTCTGTCATTCTACAACGAGGATCCCTGGTGCCCTCGTAGATTATGCATTGAGCAAGGTCAGCTATTAGCTTCTTTGGTTTTGTTTTTAAGTCTTGAGGCTGGTGATCCTTTGGATCAAGCTAGTGAAGTGAATGTGTGAGTCGGTATGTAATCTGAAGCACTTCTGTTTTCCAGGCTCAAGTTTATCTTCGGTACATCAGCCGTCCAGGCCTTGGACCTCGTGGATCGGCAGTCCATCACCTTAATCTCATCTCCCAGTGGGAGGCACATCTATCAGGTAGACGTCTAGAGGTGGCCGTGTTCTTCGGAGAAACTCCTCAGAACATAGTCTGTTTTCATGAACCTCTGTGGAAGCCAGTGACCAACTTTCAGTGTTTCTCGAGCTGTGGAACGTATTTGACCCAATTTAGTAAGATTAACCTATTAATAATTAAAATAAGATAAATATGATCCAGATTTATCCAGTAGCATTATGTGAAGTCAGAAATGATGTGAATTGGCGCATTCCTAGGTCTATTAAAATTTAGCCAACTTTTGCTTTTCCATTGTTTTATAATAGAAATGATGTTTTTCCACATGAATTATTGACAGCTTCTCATTATCTCTTACAAACAAGAGCTAGAATGCATTCTGTGGCCCTTCAAGATGCTCAGATTATCTGTTAATGATGTAATTTGGTAGTTATATAATGGTGCAATCTGGCAATTGTATAGTGATATAATCAACACCGGGATGTGATAGGATGTAATTATTTTCCATTTGTGATAGGTTGTAAGTCCTGGCCTGTGTGTTAATGAGACATGATTAGGTAAATGCTAATAAGAATTCACTATTATGTTAATGCAGTAGTATTAACAGGCTGCAAACAGCCTTACTCTGGTCATAGACCTGATCCCATTTTAAGGGAAGTTATCCTGGGCCGTAGCCTTCATCTCTTTTTATTTTACACGGAGCAAAGAGAAAGTAGCTTTAGTGCCACACACAAAAAAGTTGCACGAGCAGATTATGTCCTTTGGACCGTGGTTCCCTGAGTTGAAAACTTTGTAGACCCAGAAGAAGATTGATGACAGGACATAGAGGTTTCTAAGGGACTATGGGGCCCACAGATATTGAAAGGACCTTCCTCTAGAGAAGACAGAGAAAGAATTCACCTAAAGCTAGCACCCTGAATATGAACTTCCAGCTTCCTAAACTATGAGAGAATGCATTTCTGTTTGTTAAAGCAAGCCACAGTGGTACTTCTGTCAGAACAACACTACATAACTAAGACAAAGGCACTGGACAGCTTGCTAATAATGCAAATAAGGCTTAGGGCACTGTGTGGAAGTGGGACCATGCAAATAAGGTATATGGAAGCCTGTCAAGAGGATTGGGGATTAGTCGGTTTTGCCATCCTACTAGGCTTTAAAATGAATCATCCCAGAGGTGAAAGGGGGCACCTGACTACTACTGAGAAAGGATTCCTGGGAGCACAGTGCATCTTTTGAACCCAAGAGTCCTGCACTGAGAACCCCCTAGACCCATGGGACAGCTGTACTACTGAAGACAAGAAGCAGAAGCAGAGAAACAGTAGCAGCAGAGGTGGCAAAACCCAGAGACCCACAGGAGACAATGGGCTTCCAGTCCCAAGAGGAAAGAGTTGAGCACCTTTGGCCAAGACTTACTGGTGTGGGGTGATGCTAAAGAGCATTATAACACTTACCCCAGCAGAGCCAAGGCTGAGCCACCCTGAGGAGGCTGAGGACCTAAGGGCCACAGAGAGCCCTGCCTAAGAAGAGGCTATGTCTTTCCTGATTGTGGACTGTAACCTGCTGTTTCCTTCATTAACTCCATAATCAAATGATCTGTGAGTTCTGTGTGGCAATTACAGTGAACTATGGAACCGAGCAAAGAAGCAGAGTGCCATGACAGTGGGACAGCTGGAGTCCAAATTGGTAAAAAGGGTGGAAAGGAGGAGGTAGACAAGGGAGCTTTAAAGTTTGTGGGTTAACACTCCATGATCTTCGCCTTCCTTTGTCCATGAGCTTTTTGAAGACGTTCACTTCAGAGAAATCAGCCTTGGGCTGTTGATCTTGGTTCTTTGTCCTCCTTGTGACATTCAAGAAAGTCAGATGCCTCCACCATACCATTTTTACTGGTCTCCAGGATTTTATATCTCTCTTGATAGGAGCTGGGGGTGGGGGGACGCCATCTGCTTTTGTATCTAATGCAGGCTTTTCTGAAGACCAGGGAGGGGAGATTTCAGAGGATGAATTCTACTTTATCTATGATCTGAAATTATGTCAGTTAACTCTTAAGAGAGAGCCTGTCAATTCTTACAGAGAATAATTTGAGCAAAGACATCTTGGATAAATAGACCCCTTTGCTTAGTAATGGAGCGCTGGTGGCATAGTAGTTAGCCTTGAGCAGCTAACTGCAAAGTCAATAGTTCGAAACCAGCTGGATCTCTGTGGGAGAAAAATGAGGCTCTCTCCTCCCATAAACAGTTACAGTCTTGGAAACCCAGGGGCTACGCTGACTTCGGAGTCTGCTATAAGTTTGGTTTTTACATCGCTAGATGCCCTTGAGTCAGTGTATATGGCCCTCTGCCCTCTGTACAACAGAAGAGGACACTGCTCGGTCCTGCCCATTCTCCTATTATTCCTGTGTTTGAGCCCATTGTTGCAGACCCCATGTCAGTCCATCTTGTTTGGGGCCTTCCTCTTTTTCGATGCCCCTCGACTTTATCAAGTATGATGTCTTCTCCAGAGAGCAAATTCTTATTGAATTAAATATGGCTATAGAAATCTGATATACCCTCAAATTGACCTGGCGATTTTATTGGTTAGTAAACTAGTAAGCATTTGTCTTAATTCCGGGCTTTTGTGAGCTGATACAATTGAGTGCAGACACTGTCTCAGTAGGGGCAGTTATCTTTCTTTAAGTCATCCTAATACTTTTACTGCCCTGTAGGTGTAATGTATAACTATTCTCAAAGCATTATGTTGATGTCATCTGACTTGCCTTTTATACTTTTTAGCTCACTCGGGAAGAAAGAGAATGCACTGGCCAGGAGAGGCTAAATTATGCAATGGTTGCAACAATGACCGCAAATCTCAAAGGCTTGCAAAAGTGTCTTATGCACGCTACATGTGCATCACAAGTCTACTGCACTTCTGCTCCAAAACACATTCTGAGGCCCCCGTGGATCACGCAGCTTATATGGGACATTGAGGGTTCCATGGCAGAGACGTGTGATACACACCAGTTGATAATATTTCTGCTTGGCTACTTGCATTTTACTGACTAGATGTGGCTGTAAAATCAGCCTGTATTTAACCGGCCAAGAATGCATAATCCTCCTGCAGAAAGAGGCACTGAACACAGGGCACAGGAATAGTTTCCCACTGTGAAGGGTTCTAAGAAGTTTGGCAGGGTCATAAAACGAAATCCTTGAATGGCTGATCATCTGGATGGTTGATCTTCCATAGAACCTAACTGAAACCACAGCCAACTGCCTCTGAGTGAGGTTCATACGAGTCGAGTCGGGTCACGATCGTGCGTATCCTCTTTCCTGCATGTTTCTTTTTCTAAAGCTCTCTCCTTCTGGGGATAAACATTCCAGACAACAAGAGGGAGAAGTACAAGTAATTCCTGTAAGAGGAGTTCAATTTTCCATTGAAGGGTAAAAGAACTGAATTAGATGATCCCAAAGGTCAATTTCCAGTTGTACACATTTCTCAGATCTTTGCCTGATTACTGGGTTCACTAGATATCCAGTACTGGATAAGGGGGGCGGGGGGAGTAGATTCAGTTTATTAGTTCTTTGCAGTATGTACTGCCTTAGGCAGTTAAACGTATTTTGAGTTGTAGCCAGCTTTGGGAGGATCAGGCAAGAAAGGATTGGGGACACAATAATAAAGAGCCAGAAAACCATTCAAGCCTGTGTAGAATTCTAAAGATTTCAATGCCTGCTAAAGCTTAAATCAAGATAGATGAGACCTTAAGGGAGAAGAAATCTAAAGTTTTATTCATTGTAATAATTGGGCTACCAGAATTATTCATGTCACTGCTGGCTGTTGGTGGCGTTTCCTCCAGGGTTAAGTGAAAAAATTGGCTGCATTAAATGCTCTCCTTTTAGTTTACGTTTTCTAGACTCTGTGGGGAAATTCCTCCACTGATGCTCAATGGTATAAAAGGTGACTTGTCTACAACGTGTCCACCTCAAGATAGAAAATCATAAGATGTAGTTTTGACTACCTAATTTGGAGCCCCAGTGGCACTATCAGGTAAACACTGTACTGCCAACTGCAAAGCCAAAGGTTCAAACCCACCAGCTGCTCCTCAACAGAAAGATGAGGCAATCTTCTGTAAAGATTTATAGCCTCAGAAACTGTAAGGTCACTATGAGTCAAAATCGACTTGATGGCAGTGGGTTGGTTTTTCTTATAATAGTTTTATTGACATATCTTATACAATCCAATATATCCATTCACATACAATTCTATTCAGTCCCCTCAAGAGGAGTTATACAATCATCGATGCTATCAGCTTCCCGTGGGTTTTTACATTGTAATTGAGGCAGAAATCTTTAAGGAAACAGGAGGCATCTTTTCCCCCCCAATAATTGGCCATTTCTGGTCATCTAGCAGCCCCCAAGGACTTTTGCTGACTTAGTACAAATACAGTGCAGGCATGGAAGGATCGTGCAAATTGCTAGACAAATTACAAACAAGCAGAACACAATAATAATGTTGGTTCTTCTCTGGTTGAAGCCTTACCTGTTGCTTAACTGTTAGGGATTAAGGGAAAGAAGGGAGTGCTCCTAATGAATTTAAAAAAGAAGCCCTGACTCTTTGAATTGGCCATTTTAGAGCCTGAAACTCATGTTTCCTGCGGCGTACTGCTCAAAGGGAGTTCAGTGTGAGATAGTCCTCACGGTGCTTCTATTTCCTCTGGAAACTAATAATTTCACACTTCCAGTTTGGAAATTAACTTTTTAAGAATCACCCACTCACAGCTGTTGAGAGGATTCCAACTCATGGCAACCCTTCAGGAGCTACTGGTGACCATGGGGTCCCCAGCTCAGTGCCTAACATAGGCCACCAGGATTCCTAGAAATGAAGCCCCCTCCCTAGAAGAAGGGGGGGAAAAGATTGTGGCATCTTGCTCACAAAAGACTTAAGTGATTTCTCCAACAGATAGGTCCAACACACTCTAGGTACAGCCGTATTTCTCCATAGCCCAAACCCCACGACTGTCCAGCCCAGTCCATCCTGACCTCAGGTCTTTCCCTATCCCTCCCTTGTCTTCCTTTAGACTACCACCGCAGCTGTCTGTTCTTGGACTGGGCCTCTTAAGGAAGCACCCTACGTGGCGGGTCCTCCTTCCACCCTGCAGCATGGACAGGCAGACCCCGACTTCTCCACCTGGGGCAGCTGAGGCTTTGCTTGTGCAGACTTCCTTGCTGTGTTTTCTTCCCTTGCGTGTCCTTTTCAAAAGCCTATACCCACTTGCTGCTTCTCCAGATCCCGTCTTCCTGTTCATCCTACCTGAATGGGTATTTTCCTTTAGAAATGTACAGAGGGCTGTGAAACACCGAAGCTTAAGTTCTGCAAGAAGGGAGGGGGAAAAGAGGCGCTGATACCATAGGGCTCAATAGAAAGTAGATGTTTAGAAAATAATGATGGCAACATATGTACAAATATGCTTGGTATAACTGATGTATGGATTGTTATGAGAGCTGTAAGAGCCTCCAAGAAAATGATCTTTTTTTTTTTTTTTTTTTTTTTTTTTTTTTTTAACATTTTATTAGGGGCTCATACAACTGTTATCCCAATCCATACACAC